GTAATATCTCACTAAGTTCTTCCAACTACCCTATAATGCAGATATTAGTACTCTATCTTTAGAGATAAGAAAACTGAAGCTCAGAATACTCAGGAATGTAGCCTAAGTCCCACGGCAACTCAGTGGTGAACCTGGGGTTTATTTTTGTAGCATATAATATAAGTAAAGTGCCCAGCAAATTGCCTTGTGCATAGTAAATATTAGTAATTTTTAACCATTTTTAATATTGTTATTGCTATAACTATTAAATTTTATATAGCTTGTGCCTGAAAGACATAAAAATTTTAAAATATTATTTCTAAGATGACTTAAAGTAGGGATAAAAATCTACTATGACCTAGTTGTTCAGATATCTTAATTTTTCCCCAAAGTATATTTTAGCAAAGAACTCAAGGCCAAAGAGGATTTGTAAATAAAAATTTATGGTCAATTAAATGTGAGAAATGCTATACATTTGATTCTTCTCCTGGACAGTCACAAGAAACATTAGCATATTAAAGCTTCTGAGATGTTTTGCAGTAAAGAAAACTATTAATCTAGTTTAACCCAAAGTTTTTAAATGTATTTGCAAAGGAATTCTTTCTTCCTATAATATTTATGACAATCTCTTGAAATCAGTGTTCTGTGGAAAATATTTGGGAAAAATGAATCTACCGAAATTCCTCTTCCAAGTTGAGCATGTAATGTTTTGACAGGTCGTCGTCTGCCAAGTCGACTCCCTGCTGAGGATGTGCTGTGAAATGTCGGGGCTGACAATAAAGTCTTTCTGACACTTCACTGTTAAACCTAGTTTTTCTTAGGCTTTTCTCAGAACAGTACAACATTTTTTCTACTTCTCTCCATATTACAGTCACAGGTAAAATCCCAACCCTTTCCTAAAACTCCTGCTCACAATATTTCTTAGATCTCCTTATAGACCTTATCTTCTGCACCACTCAATGGGTTCTAAAGTTTCACTGACCATAATTTAAACCTTATTGTTATTTAATTTGTTATGTGCTCATGACTCCACAATTCAATTGTAAGTTCCTTAGTATCTGGAACCATGCATTGCGCTTCCATGTATCCCTAAAAGGGCACGAACACAGTGCATTGCCCATTCATTCATTCAACAGATATGCACTGAGCATCACCCATGTGCCGGGCACCGTTCCCAGTGCCGGGGTAGAGCAGTACCCCGCAGCAAGGTCATCAGTACTCTAGTGGAATTTCTGTTGAACTGAGGGAGATAGATAAATAAGTCTTCAAGTAAGTACATAATATAATGTCAGATAAGAATAAGTGGTATGAAGCTACAGAGCATGTGAAAGAGTAAACGAGGAGAAGTTATGTTAGTTTGGAAAGGCTTTTTTAAAGAGAGAATATTTAAGCTGAAATCTGAGTAAGAAGAAAGAGCCAGCCATGCAATAAGAAGGTCAGAAAGAAGAGTATTCTAGATCAGAGGAAAGAACCAGGGCAAAGGCTGGAGGCTGGCTGAATTTGGTAAGTTAGAGGAATAGCAGGATGGCCAGTGTGGCTGGAGCATGCATAACAAATCAGGGGATCAGTATCATCCCTTAGAGTGGTGGGTATAGGCCAGACTGTGGCAAGGAATTTGGACTTTATTTTAGGTGATATGGAAGTCATGGAGCGTTGTAGACATGGGAATGACCCAAGCATGTTTTCATTAAGTTAAAAGACCACTCTGACCACAGACTAAAGAATGAAATGTAGGGGGTCAAAGGAGGGATCAAGGATGCTAATTATAGGCTGTTTTAATAATCAAGGCATGACATGATGGTGATATAGACAAAGGTGGTGTCCAGGGAGCAAAGGGAGTGGACAGATTCTGGATGAACTTTGGCAAAAGAGACAATGGGACTTGCTGGCTTGAGCAAACCTGTGGATGGTGATATTTCCTAGATGAGGGATGTCTGGGAGAGGAATGACCTTGGGAGGAAGGGTGGAGAAGATTATCAAAAATCCTTTTTGACCGTGTTAAGCTCGAGTCTGTAAGATATCCAGGAATATGTGTCAATTTTACCAGATTCTGGAGCTCATGGGAAAGGACAGGGCTGATCTATACATTTGGGAGTCACTACACAAAAATAGCATTTAAAACCATGGGACCACATGAGATCATCTAGGAGAGAATGTAACTCCAAGGCACCTCTAAATTTGGAAGTGGTACAGGAAAAGAAGAGAAAAAAAAAAAAAGAGAGAGAGAGACTGAGAAAGGGAAGCCAAAACAGTAGAATGTGGAGAATGTGGCGTTGAGAAGTCCAAGAGAATGAAAAGCAGCTGGAAGAAGGGAGTAGTTAGCTGAGTCAAATGCCAAAGATCTAGATGAGGATGAAAGAGGAACCATCGGGTTTGTCAACTTGGAGGCAATAAGAGCAGGTTCAGTGGAGTGGTGATGACTAAAGATGGGAAGAGTGGGTTGAAGGAAGAATGAGAGGTGAGGACTAATAAGCATTCTATGTAGATAAACGCTTCCAAAGTTTTGCTGTGAAGAGGAGCAGAGAAGTGGGGCAGTAGTTAGAGGGACATGGAGTCAGGAAAGGGCTTCCCTCGACCCCAAGATGGGAGATACTAGAGTTTATCTGATAGAGTCAGAAGGAAAAATTAATGATGTAGAAAAGAGAGGGACTAATTGAACACAAAATTCTTCATTTAATTGTAAACTTTTAAATGTATTCGTTTCATATTAGACTGAATAGGAGGTTGTTTTCCAACATATGAGTTGTAATTGTGACAATCTCCGGGAAATAAAACTGGGTGGTAATAGTAATAACAATATTAACTTAACTTGTATTTAGTGCTTATTATGTGCCAGACATTGTTTTCTGTGCTTTACATACATATTAGCTTCTGTATTCCCCCAAATAACAATAATTGTTCTCATGTTACACTTGGTGAGGAAACTGAGATACAGAGAGGTTAAGTAACTTGTCTAGCGTCGTGTAACAAGCGACAGAACCAGGATTCACACTCAAATAATCTGACTCTGAAGCCTTAACTACAAGAATAACCTGGTCAAATGTTTCACATCTACTGGCATTTCCTTAGTTCATGATATGTTTTGTGATTCACCTCCTCTTAGTTACTCTTCTCTCTCCAAGGGTATACGGTTACAGAAAAGGAAGAAAGGAAATTGTTCTTCAACCCTTTCTCTAGTTGGGGCAATCTTATGAGATGGTCAAACCAATTAGATGTGGGCAGCAATTCTATTAAACTTGTTCCTTTTAGAATATTTATAAACATATATTACATATTAAATAGAATTTTCGACAGTTAGTATAGTTTTTTCCCCCAAAATGATTCCTTCTATATACACATTTGATACACATGAATATATTATTTTAATGGCTATAGGGTATTCGATTGTTGGCATATACCACAGTTTACCTAATGCTTCAAATATATGTGTGTGTGTGCTTATGTATTTATACATATAAGAAGTCCATGTTCTTGGCAGAAAAATTAGAAAATACAGCTTAGCAAAAAGAACTCTACTCCTTCATTTCATTTAATAAATATTACTGAGTGTCCATTTTATGTCATGCAACCATTACAAATCATACCACACATATACACATATGAGAAAGAGTGGGGGGAGACATGGAAGCAGTAGTTATTATTTCTGAATGGTGAGATGTTAAGGATGATTTTTATTTTCTTCTGCTTGCCTTTTTTCCTTATTTTTCTATAATGAACATATATTACTTTAATGCTTGGAAAAATGTTACTTCAAAAATTAAATATTTTCGGCCTGCCCCGTGGCTTAGCGGTTAAGTGCACGTGCTCCGCTACTGGTGGCCCGGGTTTGGATCCCGGGCGCGCCCAACGCACCGCTTCTCCCGCCATGCTGAGGCCAGGTCCCACATACAGCAACTAGAAGGATGTGCAGCTATGACATACAACTATCTACTGGGGCTTTGGGGGGGAAAAAAAAATAAAAAGTGTTTAAAAAAAATTTAAATATTTCTACATATTATGCTGAGAATACACACATTACCAGCCATCTGATCTGAAGCTAAAGTGGAATCCACTAAGAGAGAAAGGCATAGGGGCATATGTGGACATTTTTATTATTTCAATTACTCAATAGTAACGTTCCAAATTATTCTACTGCTAGGAGCATTGTTCAGGATGTGTGTGTGTATGTGTGTGTGTATGTGTATGCGTGTTGGTGTGCTGTGGGGCACTACATAATTATCCATGCTAATTAGTATATATTTAACAAATAACGGACAATTAACATGGAGCTTTGCTTCTCGCCACTAGATCTGCAGAGAAAGAAACAGAGAGATCCAGGAGACATTTTCAAGGGAAAAAAATTCCCCAAAGTACAGGTAAAAAATTCAGATACTTTTCTCCATCTTTTTGTTCAGGCTACCCCCTAAGATGCCTCTTTTCTTTTGTTTTAAATCTTTTATTGTGAAAAATTACAAACATACTAAAAATATGTATATTTGAGTGCTCAAAAATATGTACAATAAACTCCATGTTCCCATCACCCAGCTGCAATAATTATCAACATTTTTAAGAACATTTTTTCCAGTTGCTTATCTTGCATTAGTATGAAACAATAATACTTATGAACAGGAAAACTATGTTTGTAGAAAAGTTTTTAAACATTAAATAAAAAAGAAATGATTTTTAAAACCCTCACTGCACAGAACTGCACTAAGCTTTGAAGAAGTCCCCAAGTAGTTTCTGAGGCCTGCTGATGCACTTACCAGCTTTCCCATCCAATTTGCCCTTCCTCTCCAATAGCTAGTTGAATGCATTACTATGCTTGGAAAATGGAAGAACTAAAATAAAGAAAGTAGTCAACCAGGAACTGTGAAGCTATAGGACAGAACTGGGAGAAATAGCGCACACTCACCCAGGGTAAGTGTGGCCAAGAAGACAGCCCGGGGACAGGCAGCACCAGGCTGGGCAGGCCACTCTCCTTTACAGAGGTCAAAAAGAAGGGCTAGCAGAACCCTATCAAACTGTCCCCTGGTTGTACCTACCTAAACTGTTGTCACTGCTGGTGGGCCAGGAGGCAATTCTATCTCTCAGCTTCTTCTTTTTACAGGAGTTGTCTGACTTCTCAGAAAGGCCTACTTCCTCCTTCCTAATTTCTCGAACGAGCTGCATGCGGCATCTTGTAAAATCCTGAAAGGAAATCTTCCCATTTTCATCTGCGCCCAGTTGGTTCATGATCTCAGCCACAGACTCTTCCATATTCAGTTGACGACAGACCATCAACAAGTCATTTCTATGGAAGGGGTTAACAGAAGAAGACTCGTTAGGAGAGACATTTGAGCTAGATAAAGTGATTAACAACAACAAAAAAGAGTATCTCTTGAATATATCCACATATAGTAAATCTATTTCTAACTTTCTCATTGCTTCAGAAAAGTGAAGTGTGCAAAAAGATCTGTTTCATCTGGGTTACTCTAGACAAGAACTCTATTATTATTTGGAAGAGTGAGGCTACTATAAATCCTTTATTCTCTTTTTCTTCCTGTCTCCACACCCTTCCCTCCTTTTCTTTCTTTTGAAATTGATGGAGCACCTGTAGAGTGTAGCACTGTAATCTCACCCTAAGATAAAGTTTCAGAACATAGAAAAGCTATTGTTTCTATTCTTGGCAGAGTTTAAAGTTGTAAGTCTAGTCAAGTTGTAAAAGAACAACACAGATTTTAACAAGCTCAGTTGTCAGCTTTCTGGACCAATCAGCTAATTTTAGTACTTCCTTAAAAATGTTATTTAATCTCAACTTTCCTGGCTCAGCGCTCACCTACTGGTGCTACTTCTGGTTTTGGGATTTTCTTTGAGTATTTTCCACCTTCCCATCAGCAATTAGTAAGCCCTAAGACTTAGAGCAGGGATCAAAATCCCAAATGTCTTCCAGGACTAGGACATAATATAAATGTGTGAAGTGGGTGGATCTAAGACAAGAGGGATTGGTGGAGTCTGTGGCTGGACTAGAGAAGTATATCCAGCCTATATGTTCTCAAGTTAAAAAAACAAAAAGAATAAAAAAGGAATAACAACACCATTCTGGCCAAGAACATTTATCTGGAGGACGTCATTTGACTCCTGACATACAAGTCTTGTTCTTATCTCTCTATCTAAACTTCTTGGGGAAACATTTTGTTCATATAGTTCCAACTGTAAGTCTCAATAAAGCTCAAAGGATACAACACTGAAGACCGGGAAGAGACATTAGGAAATTAGTCCATGGTCACAAACAAAGCTAATTAGTGCCCCTGTCTCAACACCCTACCAAAGTCCAATCATCTTGAGAACATGACCAATCTGATGTTTGCTGATACCTGAAACCTAAACATGAAAATTAAGACTAACCCCTCTCTCCTTGTCACCCTTCACAAATTCCTTCTCCTGGTCAACGCTACTATGATCTTCCCAAAGTTCCCTGGGCTCAAAGAATTGTAGATATTTTTAATATCTTTTCATTCACTCCATCTTACCCCTAATTTCCCCCACCCCGGTCCCCAGTGTCCAATTTATCATCAAATTTCCATTGCTCCTGCCCCTGAAATGCTTTTATATTTACTCTTAATTGTGCTTCCCAATGCATATAACACTCTCTAAGACCTTCTCAATTTATACTAGGCCTATTACACTAACTTGTTTAGCTGATCACTGTGTTTCCGTATGCCATCCCATTTTCATGTTCCATAATTTTTGCATACAGCTACATGTTTTATCTTGTGTGCATGTGTCTGTTTATGTACATAAGTATTTTATATATATGCCTATGTGTATATATTTATATTTTTTTATTTGTAAAGTATATGGATAGGTGGATAAATAAATAAACAAACACATGGAAGTGGGTATGGTAGATTAAGTTGGTAGTCCTAACTTTTCTTCTCCTGTAGTAGTGTTATACATCCATAGCCTTGTCTTGGCCTCAGGGCCAAGAACACTCATGGTAAGTGTGTCCTCCCCCATCCCTTAACTTCAGGCTTGACATCTAACTTGCTTTGGCCCCTGGGATATTAGCGGATATGTGTTTATATAGTTGGGCTTGTCCCCTTCTGCTCCTGCCATCATTATGAGAAGAACAAACCATCATAGCTTAACCCACTAGCCTGGGCCCCAAAATGAGCCACCTTAGCCAACCTGTAGACCTGTAGCCTAAGAAGAGCCACTCCAGCTGACCCCAAGATGTAAAATTCTTATCATTTATGCCAATGAGATTTTGTGATTGTTCCCCAACAAGTAACTGATACACTGAAATAATTTTTTAAAAATGCATTCATATGCTTATCTTTTTTGCCCTTCCCTGAATACAACCTGTCTGACATTTAGCTGGATTCATCCAAGACATTGGGATGATTATGATTGCTTAATCAGGAACACAAACAGAACGAAAGGGTCAATGTTCAGATTCTACATTCTAAAATAAAATTTTCTTTTTTATATTTTTAGACAATAATCTTAAAAATTAGGCTTGGTGGGAGATAAAGAAGTTTTCTAAATTCCAGAAGTTCACATAATAAGATGCTAACACTAATATTTTCTGAATGGTAGGAATATAGTGTTTTCATTTTCTTATTTTTACCTATTTGTATTTTGTAACTTTCTACAATGTACTACACTACTTTCATAAATTGCTATGTCATTGTTTTGGTTTTAAAGATGAGGGTAATAGTAGTCTCTATCTCGTAGAGTGGTTCTGAGGATAAATGCGATAGTGCATGTAATTAACATAGTTCCTGGCACATATTAAGTACTCAATAAATAGTAGCCATTATTATGATTATTTTATAATTATTGATCATAGATATTTCACAATGCCCCAGTTTCATGATTAAGTCTTCAGTAATTAAGCACAAATCGCTCAAGGGAAAAGAACGCTTATTGGACTGAACTGACTACCTCACTAAATGGAGCAATCTGTCTGCAGAGGCCAGCGATTCCTCCCCGCCTGTGGCCCACTTATGAACACTGTGCACCCTGCTGAGAAACCCAACTCTGTCCAGGCTTGAGCAGTTCCATTCTACAAAAAGCAGCTCAAAGAAAAGATTTGTGTTCTAGAAATGCCAACTCAGAGGAGAGTGTGTAATGCTGCATTTTTATTTAAAAAGTCTGAGCTATTGAAAGTCTAATATAAAAGATCAAAAACAAAATACACTGCATTCTACTAAACTAGTTCTGATTGTAATCTTTAAATAGAAGTGCTAGTTTCTAAAAACGAAATTAAAGCTAAATTCTTTCAGCATAGAGATAGAGAACTAGCAATAACAACTCACAAACCTGCAGGAGAAGTGCTGTTATCCCTGTTTTACAGATTGAGATATGAAGGCTGAGAGAGTCACAGAGCTAATATGTAGCAGAGCCAGGAATCTAAATCAAATCAGTGTGATTCCAAAGCTCTTACCCTTTCCATTCTACTGTTCACCACCTTGGATGTCAATGATACCAAATTTTGACCTGTGAACACACATAAGGACAGCACTAATATAACCAGCTTGATTCTCAATGCTCTTTAATTAACAATACTTTTATATTAAACCAGAAAGACTACATACATCTATATGTGTGTTCCCCTTCTATGTTAAAGATGGATGAAAATAATCAGTTACATTTTGTTATCAACATGGTGAGAAAACAAAGTTACAAGAGAGAAAAAAAATTCCAAAAGCTCTCCTTTACATATCAAGAGCTAAGCCTAGCAAACTTGGATCACAAAGTTTTACCATGAGCCACTGTGTCAGGTTGTTTAAAATAGCCCTCAATGAATTACACTCTCCTGTGACTACACCCATTTTGCCATACCTCCTATTAACAGGTGGAGGCTATTTCCCTGCCCTTGAATCTGGGCTGGCCCCGTGACTTGCTTTGATCAATGGAATGAGGCAGAAAAAACACTCTAGCACTTCTGAACATAGTCCTTAAGATGCCTTGTAGCTTCCACATTCAGCTCTAATTGTTCCAACTCCATGCAGTCCCTGTAGCCCACTCAGGCCCACAAATGGTCTCTTCCTTCTGCTAGCATTTAGCACCTGCACCATTCATTCAGTGGCTATATACAGCTTTGTATCAACTTTTGGATTGTTGTACTAAACTTTCTTTTCTCTCTCTCCTCTTTTTTATTATTTTCACACACTCAAGTCTTACCTTTCCAACCTTACCCCAAGCTCCTGGAAGCCATGCCTCCATCAACAACCCTTAAGATCTATGCAGCTCGTAGCACATTGCCCTGTACACAGCAGAACTCTATCACATATGTTTTGATGGACTGATTCACGAACTTTCAGAAGTTAAAAATGACTACTCTTTTGAAGGGAGTCCCCACTTTATTTGATATTTTCCCACGTATACCTCTCTCTGTATTTTCCCAGAGAAGGTAGCATATGGGATGCTCAGTAAGTATGAATGACCAGTGGACACCATAACAACAACAACAACAACCTTGTACCCTTGGTGACAGAGCAGCATGACCGTTTCTCTGCCCTAGGCCAGAGCTGTTTCTCAGAGGAAGAGGTACTAAGCTGCAGTTGTCCAAAACTGAGATGTTAGAGTGGAGAATTATTTCAGTAGCAATAACATCACCACATAAGGCACCTGCCTTGAAAAAAAAAACCAAACTTTTGTATATTATTCCAGAAAATACATACATTCATTTTAGAAAATATAGACAAGCAAAAAGAAGAAAATACAAATTACATGCAATCCCTCTACCCAGCAATAACCACAGGGACCATTTTGGTTAATTTCACAAAATTTTGGTGAACAGTTTTTCCTCTAAATTTCTCTTAAATAAATAAATTTCCTCTAAATATTTTTTTTCCTTTCATCATTGCTACAACTGTTCTAAAAGGTGTTTTATATTTATTCATATTCATATACGTGTATCTTATCTTCAGAGGTTATCACCATGAGGCAAGAAAGGAAGAGATTTCAGTTTATAGCAGAGGAACTAGCCAAGTCAGGTAATATTTAGTTCTGTAGACAACACCAATCCCCAGGCAGCAAAATTAAAATATGACTGAAGATCGATGCTTCTAGCTCAAAACTACACGGTTTCACAATGCACAGCTATTACTTTCTGTATATAAAAGCCTTTTTGTCTCTTGGCTATTCTTCTTCCCTTAACTTATAAAGAAATTGAGTAGGAAGTGAAAATTCAACGAAGCTATTTATCATTCAGGGAAATTCACAGCTTAATGTCAGGAATAGATAATGGGAAAGATGGGCTTAGGTCTCTCAGGCTCAGAGGCAGAGAAAAACATTATTCTT